TTTTGAACCTGAAACTCAAAGTTAAGGACATAAAGTCCTTAAGTTTTGAACTTGAAACAATAATTTAAGGACTGCATGTCCTTAAGTTTTGAACTTGAAACTATAAGTTAAGGATTGTCTGTCCTTATCTTTTAAACCTGCATGTCAAACTTAAGGACTCCTATCCTTAACTTTTGTAAAGTTGAGGACAGAGAGTCCTTAAGTTTTGAACTTTGAACTCAAAGTTAAGGACTGCCGGTCCTTAACTTTTGAACGTGTAATTCAAAGTTAAGAATTTTGAACTTGAAACTATAAGTTAAGGACTGCATGTCCTTAAATTTTGAATCTGCATGTCAAACTTAAGGACTCATGTCCTTAACTTTTAATCTTTGAACTCAAAAGAAATAAAAACAAGGTAAGAAGAAAGAAATTTTGAAAATTCAGACATCTACTCAAAAATTTGAACATACAGAATTTAGCAAATAAGTATTGAGGATGATGTCATTCATAAATACTTTTGTTAGTGTTAGTACAATGTAAGGCTTACTTACCCAGTGACATCCTATACTATATACCCAGTGACTGAAGCAACAAAGTCAAAGAAAAGCTCAACTACTACGCTATATATTAATAGGGAAACCGAAATTCAGAAAATTCTTTTGAACTTTGACCACGAGCTAATTTGGCTGCAACTTCATCATTATGATAATTCTCTGTCTTTGCATATTATTGATGAAATTTGGACGATTTTGGAGGGCTTTTCACATTTACCATTACTGCGCTTGATATATACTTCACCTCCATCGCTTCTTTCTTTTTGCAAAAGGTTTTGGGAATATAACCATTGAAGAAAGGGTAAAACTGGCTTTTTCCTATTAATAGTGGCTATTTTTGCTGAGCATTATAATTAGTGGATAAAAATTAAAGACCCCCTTAATTAGTGGCTACTACACGTCATTTTTACCGCTTTTGCTTCTCCAATTGGACTAACCCAACTCCCAAAAGAAATGTACATAACTGAATTAGTAGTTTGCATATCTAGCCAATCCAAGCAACTTGAATCTTCCTCCCAAAAGCTAGCATTCTTGATTGTTACATGAGTTCCAATTGGGAGAATTTGGGGATAATCTTGGAACTCATAATCAAATTGGGTTCCCAAAATAGTAGTATTTCGCACCTCGTGACATGCGCCTGGAGATCTGTTTACAAGGAGCCACTTAAGTGTTCTTGTTCTTTCCGTTGTCCTAGTCCAAAAATTGAATCTTGAAATTCTTGCAGTTGAATTTCCTATAAGCCATGGCAAATCTTCTGAGCTAAGTGTAGGATGATCATTTGAAAGGCATATAGGACCATTTTGCAATGGACAACCTGCAAATTATCAATCATAAATGTATTATTTTATGGAAGTAAGTATGCCTTTGTGCATAAAATTAGAGAGAAAAAAATGATTGTCGAACATGTTTTAATTCCTTACCTTGTTTTCTCATAACATATTGTTGTTTACGAACAAAAAGTAATAAAAACACGCGAAATAATGATTGTTATTGTGCACGGACCACTGACAAAACTTGCCTTAAGCAAATTCAACTATTGAGGTGCCTTTCGGGTAAAAGTCGAAGGAGCGAAATTGTGGCACTCAAAGTCTTGAGGTGGCTCAAAAGGGTGGGCCAAATCAGATAATACTTTGGCAGTTGGGCATGGTCGTGACAAGTGGCGTAACCTATACTTCCCCTAGTATAATAGTGGGGCAAACCTTAGGGAGAATACTGAGTCCTTCGGAGAGGACTAGTGTAATAGCCCACAGATGTTGGTGGTTGTACTAAAAATGGGATTTGATATGAATCTTGCCTTAGACAAATCCCACGTCGAAATGAAAAGAAAAGGTTAAAGGGCCATATAATGGTGAGTTCATGATTCAATTGTTGAGACGCCTTTTAGGTTAAAGAGACAAACCATGAAGGCCAAAAGTCTCGAGGTGACTCTATATTGTCGGACCAAAGCTGAGGCAATTAAACTTGACTGTAAACGCGGGGGGGGGGGGGGGGGGGGAGGGGGAAATTGTCATAATTTACTCATGCCAATTACCAAGTCAATTAAATTAAAGTACTTCAGAATATATTGATTGCAATGAAAGCTTTGTAAATTAAGTTAAATCTTCAAAAGGATCATTTGATCATGTTCTTATAGCTTGCATTTTCATTAAAAAAGTGAACCTCGTATGGTTGACTTTAATATGACATCATATTAGACGTTTTGTACATTTAACTAGACGTCACGTACATCACAATTTCTTGATCTACGATAACTTTCTGACTAGTCATTTATGTTACAAATTACTAATAACATATATATATATATATATNAAAAGGCCAGTCTTATATATGCTTCCAGATTTTCCACCTAATTAGTTCTCTATACAATTTCCAGTCAAGTAACATGACTAGTTTTCAGAAAGGTTTTTAGAACAGTACCAAGCACGACTCAAGCTATTCGTATATTTTATAAATTAGTTAATGTGAATCCGAACGGATTTCATACATTTGTTAGTTAAATTGACCTGTTTCTGAGATGATTCCAGCTTTGAGCAAGTCTGGAATTGAAGCAAGCAAATTATAAGCAGCCAAAAAGACTGGCCAAAATCCAGCAACTTGAATGCCACACCTATTAGCAACTTTAACAGCCCAAGAAGCAAGCAAATCAACAATCACACACACAATTCCATCCTCTTCTTTTCCACCAAACTCATATTGTCTAACAAGTTTTTCAAAATGGTATGGCATGTAATTCTCCATTGCATTTTCTATCGCGAAAAAATCGCGAGGGGTTCCTTCTTCTAGTCCATCTGGTATAGACATGAAAGAAATTCCACTTTTCGGATCGATTTGTGTTGAAATATTACGGTGGATGAATTCGGGTGTGATGACTATTGGATCAAGGCCATTGCTATATAGCAATGAAGCTAGTTTAAGCATTGGAGTTACATGACCTTGTGCTGGATATGGAACTAGAAGTACTTTAGTCTTTTTTGTGCACTTCCTATGACCCATCTGCCGCCCTGGATAAGGTGTGCGGTGTTGAAATTGTTGAACCGGAGAAATGAGTTGGAAAAGAGTAGAACGAAAGCAGACAAGTGAAGACGAAAAGAGACAGAGTTATAACTAAATTTCGTTTCAAAGCTTTTTGTTCAAAACTCTTTAATGTATACTCACTATATATGAAAGTGGTATATATAAGGGATGGTCTCTTAATTATTTGGGGAGGGGGAAGGGGGAGGTTTGGCTCACGTGGCGTATGCCATTGGTTAAGGCACAATCATGGACTTGGAGTATTTGTTTACAATATATGATATACATTAACAATATAAATAGCTCTACACTATTAAGGTAATGTAATATGTTGTAGCAATCTAATTACAATCAGAACTTTCTATAACAATATTTATATAGAACGGTCATTCATTATAAAAGCTAAGTTTTTTTCGGAATTAAATTTTATATTTTGTTATTATATATGTCCTCTATAACATCACTTCACTATAACAGCCAAAAAATATCGAAACAAATGAGACTGTTATAGAGAGATTTGACTGTACACCTTATTTTTAGGTAATTAATTTACTATTTTATTATGTACAGTTATCTATAATATTCTTTTAGTAACCTGATAGTTTATTTTTATTTTTTTGGTAATGTCGTGTATTTATAGTTAGAGTTCCTCACAAAGGGAAATCTTAAACTTACACTAGAGTATAATTAATTATTGATGAATAGTGTAGTTATTATAGAAAAGGTTAGTATTTGTCGCAAATTAAGGCACTAAAAAGCATTTGCATCTATACCCGTTTTTTGGGTCACGTTTTAACTTGTGTCTGCTTTGCAAAAAAATTTGCAAGCGTACCCACTTTTACGCGTAACTTCAGCATACAGGGCTGAAGTAGCAAAGGCAGTCACGCAAAACTTCAGCATTCTAGTAGACGAGCCTGAAGTAGCAAAAATTGCTTAACCAAGTGTGCTGAAGTTTTTGTTTGTAATTGCTGAACTTAAGCATAGTAGCTGAAGTTTTATTCTCTATTTGCTGAAGTTTTTGTTTGTAATTGCTGAACTTAAGCATAGTAGCTGAAGTTTTATTCTCTATTTGCTGAAGTTTTTGTTTGTAATTGCTGAACTTAAGCATAGTAGCTGAAGTTTTATTCTCTATTTGCTGAAGTTTTTGTTTGTAATTGCTGAACTTAAGCATAGTAGCTGAAGTTTTATTCTCTATTTGCTGAAGTTTTTGTTTGTAATTGCTGAACTTAAGCATAGTAGCTGAAGTTTTGTTCTCTATTTGCTGAAGTTTTTGTTTATAATTGTTGAACTTACGCATTCTAGTAGCTGAAGTTTTGTTCTATATTTGTTAAACTTCAGCATGTTTTATGCTATCATGTAATTGATTTTTTGTACAGATAATAAGTTTAACATAGTAGAATTAGTAACTTAAAAAAACTAGATAATAATTTAGCACAACAGGTTAAAATGCATTAATAATGTACAAAGTTGAATCCAAAAAAATAATATAATTTGAATTAAAGGAAATAGACTTATATTTACATACATGTACGTACTTACTTTAGAAAGTTATTTATAATTTGTTTTCATATAATCTGATAAATATACTTATGGCAACATCATCCCCGATGAACTGAAGTTTCATAGTAGTACCAACAACAGAAGAAGAAGAAGAAGAAGAAGAAGAAGTAGACGAAGAAAGGGGCTGAAGTTGTTTAAAAAGAGGGTACAAGTTAAAACTTTTTAAAAAATGGGTATAGGTTAAATTGGGGCGGCCAAATAGGGTCCCTCGTGCAATTTATGTCCGCTTTTTGGGTCACGTTTTAACTTGTGCCCTCTTTTGCAAAATAAATTGCAAGCGTACCCACTTTTCGCGTAACTTCAGCATACGGGGCTGAAGTAGCAAAAGCAATCATGCAAAACTTCAGCATTCTAGTAAACGGGCCTGAAGTAGCAAAAATTACTGAACCAAGTGTGCTGAAGTTTTTGTTTGTAATTGCTGAACTTAAGCATAGTAGTTGAAATTTTGTTCTCTATTTCCTGAAGTTTTTATTTGTAATTGCTGAACTTAAGTATAGTAGCTGAAGTTTTGTTCTCTATTTGCTGAAATTTTTGTTTGTAATTGCTGAACTTAAGCATTCTAGTAGCTGAAGTTTTGTTTTGCTGAACTTCAACATGTTTTAGCTGATGTTTTGTTCTATACTTGGAACTTCAGCATGTTTTATGCTATCATGTAATTGATTTTTTGTACAAATAATAAATTTATCATAAGTAGAATTAGTATCTTAAAAAAACTAGATAATGATTTAGCACATCAGGTTAAAATGCATTGATAATGTACAAAGTTGAATCCAAAAATATAATAGAATGTGAATTAAAAGAAATGGACTTACATTTACATACATGTGCGTACTTACTTTAGAAAGTTATTTATAATTTATTTTTAAATAATCTGATAAACATACTTATGGCAACATCATCTCTCATGAACTGAAGTTTCATAGCAGCACCAACAGCAGTAGAAGAAAGAAGAAGAAGAAAACGAAGGAGGAGAAGAAGGAGGAGAAAGGGGACTGAAGTTGTTTAAAAAGTGGGTACAAGTTAAAAAATTTTTAAAAAAATGGGTATAGATTAAATGAGAGTGACCAAATAGGGCGCCCCGTGCAATTTTTACGGTAATTTATGATATTAACAAGCGAGCTTGATTGGCCTATAAAAGGGTCCAATATTTTGGTAAAAATTGTACTGGCACCCTATTTGGTCGCTCCCATTTAACCTATACCTACTTTTTAAAAAAGTTTTAACTTGTACCCACTGTTTAAACCACTTCATGCCTCTTTCTCCTCCTCCTTCGTTTTCTGAATGCTGAAGATTGAGATATTGTTATATGTTTTAGCCTAACTTATATTTGCTATTTTAGCTCTTTACAACTAGGAATTAGCTTCTGGACCGTCCAATTCGGAAATTCTACTTTTAATTGCTACTGAAACATGAAAGCACAACTCGATTCTCTGTGCATTAGGTGAAGATGTTACTTTTACTAATGGTCTTGTTTTATAGGAATATTGCTTTTCAAATTTCCTGATAATTCTATTATAGCAACTGGATCTTAATGACAACTTGTCATTGTTATTTTAGAACTTCAACTCTAAGAATGCTGAAGTTCAGCAAATATAAACAAAAACTTCAACTCCTAGAATGCTGAAGTTCAGCAAATATAAACAAAAACTTCAACTCCTAGAATGCTGAAGTTCAGCAAATACAAAACAAACTTCAGCCCTGAAGTTCATTACAAACATAACAAAGCTTCAGCTAAAACAGGCTGAAGTTCAGCAAATATAAAATAGAACAAAACTTCAGCTAAAACATGCTGAAGTTCAGCAAATAGAGAACAAAATTTCAGCTACTAGAATACTTAAGTTCAACAATTACAAATAAAAACTTCAGCCAACACTTGGTTCCGCAATTTTTGCTACTTTAGGCCCGTCTACTAGAATATTGAAGGTTGTGTGATTGCATTTGCTACTTCAGGCCTGTATGCCTGAAGTTACGCGAAAAGTGGGTACACTTGCAATTTTTTTTGTAAGGCGGATATAAGTTAAAACGTGACCCAAAAAACGGGTATAGATGCAAATACCCCATTATTTTGAGCGTAATATATACTTCTATCCTAAAGCCGGAAAAGAAATACATAAAAATGTAAACTGGACCATTTATTTTAGCGGTACTCCGCAAAATTGCAAATTGAAATAGTAGGTACTAAAGGTTTTTATTTATTTATTATTTGGGTTTGAAGTAATAAATTTACGTACGAAGGAACTTAATGCTTTATTTTCTTTTTTGTTCTTGATATGACCAATATATACTATTTATTGGGTACCTGTTATCTTTCACCAATATAAATATAAAATAACTCTACATATCAATTAATTAGAACATATATTATTCCATTGGATACTTGCTACCGACATAAATTTCATATTCTAACATTACAAATGAATGTTGTCAAGTTAGCCATTGCTCTTGAACTAGCCACCTTGCCCATTGTCATCTCGTTTAGTCTAGCAATTCTTTCACTCATTTCATCATCCTCCATTATCCTTTTCAATCCTTCATCCAAATCTTTCAGTCCAAAACCATCCATTCTATTGCCGATTCGCCAATTTTGAACAATGTAAGCGCAATTAACAAATTGATCACCTGCAATTGGATAACATAACAGGCGTGTCTTGGATTGTATCGCTTCCATTGTAGAATTCCAACCACAATGGGTAAGATAACACCCCACTGATTCATGTTGTAGAACATCAATTTGTGGTGCCCATGACATAATTTTCCCTTGTTTTGATGTTCTCTCCAAATAGCTCTTTGGTAAACCTTCTCTCCATGTAGGACCTAACACCCAAATAAATGGTCTTTTTAACAATTCAAGAGCCAATGCTAAGTCATTTACTTTTGATTTTCCAATTGGACTAACCCAACTCCCAAAAGAAATGTATAAAACTGAATTAGCAACTTGTTTATTTAGCCAATCCAAGCAACTTAAATCTTCCTCCCAAAAGCTAGCATTCTTTATTGTTACATGAGTATTCAAAGGTCCAATTGGGAGAATTTTTGGGCAATCTTGAGACTGATCAGTTTGTGTTTTCAAAATATTAGTATTTCTCACATTGTGACATTCGTCTGGAAAGGTATTTACGAGGAGCCATTTTAGGGTTCTTGATCTTTTCATGGTCTTAGTCCAGAACTTGAATCTTGAAATTCTTGCAGCTGAATTTCCAACAAGCCATGGTAAATCTTCTGAACTAAGTGTAGGTTGGCCAAGTGAGATGGATATAGGACCACTGTGCAATGGACAACCTGCGAGATCATTATTGTTAATCATAGGTTTCTCAATTGGAAGAGATTCTAAACATATTGTAGGTTTAAAATGGCAATATTTGATCAGGAAAAGATCAAAATTTGCTTGTTTACTATCTGAAATCGTTCAATTTTATCATTGGTTAAACTTTTGGATAGTTCATATCCTTGTCGTGAGCAAATGGTCTTATAATATAATATTCATTGTTGTCATCAACAGAGCTTCAATGTGAAATGAGTATATTGCATGTGCCCAAATTCTTCGAGAAGGGGAATGGGAACGACTTATTATTTACTCATGTCAATTACCTTCAAAATTAGATCGGAATGGAAGCTTTATGGTTAAGTAATGTTTAACAATAACAACAAACTCAGTAAATTTTCATAAGTGAGGTATGTGAAGAATAAGATATATGCAGCCTTGACCCTAATCTGGAAGGGTGGAGAGCTAAAGTAATATTAAAATAAAATAAAATAAGTAATATTCCGAAAGCTTCGTTTTATCATGTTCTTATCCCATACATCTTCATTATTAAAAAGTAAAACCTATTATGGTCAACTTTAATATGACATAATAATAATATTAGAATGTGAGAAGTTGACTATGACCTAGTCATTAATTAGTGCTAGTATTTAACTAACTAATTACACGCGCTAAGCAAATGGCCTTTCTTAGTCCTTTCAAACCAGTAAACAAACGCCACGTACCTCGATGTTTACTCGATCCCTAACAACTTTCTGACTAGACATTTATGATAGTAGCATTTAATTATTTTTTTTTGAATATGATCAATTTAATTTATATTCATGGATATTATAATCCAATACAAGTATACAACATGCTTCCGATGAAAGGCAAGTCTTGTCTATGCGCTTACTAAGTATCTTACTGAGCCACATAAACTAAAAGTTTACTGAGAATTTTTGCATTATCCATACATAGCATAACTAATTAATGTTTTATTACATTACTTACAATATTTTTCAAGTTATCAATTTAAGCTTACTATAATTAACAAACTACTCTTACGCTTTTTACTCCCATGGAACTTTGAAAAAACGAAGTTAATTCCTTCTTGATATCTAAAAAAATCAAATATTGTGGACCACAAAAAAAACCAAAAACTTATTTAATGTGGACTGGAGGGAGTAATAAAACTATGTTTATAACTAAAAAATCAGAAATGCAAAAGTTATATCAGAAATAAAAAATTGAGTCCATAATTTTCTTGGGTGGCCTTAAGTAATTTTAATCCCCTCATTGTTGCCCGAGGTATTTGGTTAAATTCCTCCCAAGGTGCAATGAAAAACTATTCTATAAAAGCGATACTTCAGTTTACAGAACTTCAACGAATTCAAATGACGGAGCAAATCACACATGATACATATGTTTGTTTTGGCAAAAAAAAAAATGCAAAGGAGGGAGAAATTTCAGAATATTTAGTGTGTGAAAAATGAGGCAAGACTTCTCTATTTAAAGCCAACAAACGGATGGAAAGAAAAGGTGCCTTTTTTGGTGTTATATTTTCGGAAAACAACTCTTTATTTTTCATTAACACCTCGCAAAACCCAACACATATATCTCATCTGGGGAGGATAGTGCGTACGCAGACCTTACCCCTACCCTAGGGGTAAATGTTGTTTTCGATAGACCTTCGGCACAAGAAAAATATGTCTCAGTTTAAATAATAAAGTGAATATTGTTACCTGTTTCTGAGATGATTCCATTTTTGAGCATGTCTGGAATTGAATCAATCAATCTATAAGTAGCTAACATGGCTGGCCAAAATCCAGCAACTTGAATACCAAACTTATTAGCAACTTTAACAGCCCAAGAAGCAAGCAAATCAACAATCACACACACAATTCCATCTTCTTCTTTTCCATCAAACTCATATTCTTGAACAAGTTTTTCTAAATGGTATGGCATGTAATTCTCCATTGCATTTTCTATCGCGAAAAAATCGCGAGGGGTTCCATCTTCTAATCCATCTGGTATTGAAATGATAGAAATACCATCTTCTTTAGAGTTAATCTGGATGAAATTTGGAGTAATGACTATTGGATTAAGACCATGATTAAGTAGCAACGAAGCTAGTTTAAGCATTGGTGTGACATGACCTTGTGCTGGATATGGAACTAGAAGTACTTTGGTCTTTTTTCCGCACTTCATATGTTTTCTCTCTAAGATTTTTAGTTGTTCAACTCTTCAAGGGACTCACTATATATAATTATATATTCAAGTCGTAATATATGGAGAGGAACGGACCGTCTCTAAGTTTTCATTTTTTGGTGTGTGGGGTGGGGTGTGGACTGAAGAGAAATGGACGGTCTAATATATATAAGAGGAATAGGTGGCTAGCTTTATAATCACAAGAAATAAGTTATCTTAAAACTTTTGGAATATCTCGGCGTTTAGTATCGCCTTATCCTTTGTTTGGTTACTAATACTGAGATAAGTTATCTTAGGATTAAAATAGTATTGGAATAACTTATACCAAGATAAAGCAATAAAGTTGACAATCTCATAATTAACACAACATAACAAACAACCAATAAAAAATAATATCAAGATAACTGGTCTCAATATAACTAATCCCAGTATAACTAATTCCAACATAAATTGTCTTCAAACAAACAATTGCTTAGGGATCTTTTGGTATGATGGATAAGCAAAAACAATCTTGGGATAAAGATTAGTTACCGCCTTATCCCTTGCATGGCTATTAATCATGGGATGAGTTATCCCAAGATTACAAATTGTACCGAGATAACTTATACATGCCAGAGGGTGGAATTGCACTACCAGAATAAGTTATCATGAGATAACGCAATAAAATTGACAATTCCAAAATTAGTACAACATAACAAACAGTCAACAAAAATTAGTAATAGAATAACTAATTCCAGCATAACTAATCTCAGTATATATTAGAGAACCCATAATATTGGATAATTTTTGAATACGAAATATTAAAATATTAAAATTTATAATATTGAGGATTTATACGGTCAACTCCAATTATTATTGTTGTGGGGGAAGGGGGTTGCATGTGGCTTATGCAATTGCATTAACCTTCGCATGTGGCTTATGCAAATTTGGGCTTAATCATGGCAAATTCTTTTGGCAACTTCTTTACTAAAGGAAAACTTAAACTATATATTAGAGTATAATTATTGATGAATTATGTAATAGTTTTAGAAAAGGTTAGTATTAGGCGCAAAGGCATTAAAACGGGTTAGTTATGATATTAACACAGGACAAGCCTGGTTGGCCTATAAAAGGCCCCAATCTTTTGAGTGTGACACACTTCTATCAAGGGAGAAATTTAAAAATAGTCAGATTTACAATTGATCATTCAAAAATAGCTCAATTTCAAAAGTAATCGAAATTTAGCCACTTTTCATGTAAAGATAAATCTGAGCGAAAACACTGTTCAAAACCCGGAAAATACGCCAGTATATTATACTGGAGTTCCAGCATAAGTATGCTTGAACTCCAGCATATTATACGGGAGTTCCAGGATAACTATGCTGGAACTCCAGCATAATATGTTGGAGTTCCAACATAAGTACACTAGAACTCCAACATATTATACGGGAGTTCCAGCAAGTATAAATGTCCAGTATAATATACTGGAGTTTGGAGCACCGGTGCTTCAGTCTCCCATATATTATACAGGAGTCAGCAAAGTATACCGGTCCAACATAATATGCTGGAGTTCGTACACAGATGCACCGAACTCCCGTATATTATGCGGGACCGGTCTCTGTTACAGCAAAATAGTGGCTATTTTTCATTGACTTCGTAAATGATGGCTATTTTTGAATGACAAGTCTGAAAACTGGCTATACCGTGCTATTTTGACTTCTATTAAAGCCAGAAAAGAAAGTCTGGACCATCTAAGTGGGCGTTTGGACATAAGCATTGTAAGATTCCAAAAAAAAGTAAATTTTTTTTTCAAGTGAAAATGGAATCTGAAAATTAGAGTTGTGTTTGGACATGAATATAATTTTGGGTTATTTTTGAAGTTTTGTGAGTGAAAATTTTTCAAAATTTATCTTCAAGTGAAAATTAGAAATTTTATGGTCGAACGCTGATTTCGAAAAAAAGTAAAAAAAATTCGAAAACAAATAAAAAATTCTTATGTCCAAACGAGCTCTAATTTGAGTGTACTTTTCAAAGTAGGTAAGAAAGTTACAAGTACATATTAGAAGGAACTTAAAGGTTTTTTTTTTTTTAAAAAAAAAAATTCTCTTCTTACCCGTGGTGCTATTCGGACCACCTTGCGTCTATTATTCATTTTATCGAATACTTTTATTTCTCATCAATATATGTATCAGATCAATCTATTCACTACATTTTAAGTAAAAATGAAAACAATCACATAATTATTTTTTTATCCAGTTTTAAACTTTATCTCTTATAATATTTACACATTTCTTTGAAGACTATAATCTTAGGTCGAAGGAACTCAAAGCTCAAAAGCTTTTTTGCTGCTTTTTTCTAAGTGGTTTCTACATGCGACTTGCTGCCTAACCCACAGAAAAGGTCAAAAGTGCAATTTTTAATAAATTATGAGCAATGTGACTATTGTGGATATGGTGTTTGTATACACATTTTTTTCTTTACATGGTGCTTTTATACACATGTAAAGACAACCTACGAATATTTTTATTTCACTTTGTAGATTTATATATTAGATTCTGTACTGTCTGTCTGTCTGGAAATAATGTATCGAAAACATAGGCGGAGTATCGAAAACATAGGCGGAGCTAGCCTATCAGGGTTCGGCTGAATCCAATCACTTCTGCTTAAATATTATATTTATATTAATTTTTAAATATATTTAAATATCTAATTGCGAACCTAGTAACGAAGATGAAGTATCGGTTTCGTATGGCAAATGCAGAACACCTCTGATAGAAAACAAACTATGAAATGCAAAGTGTGATGATCTTGTTAATTGGTGTAGATGATTCTCATCGAATATATATAATTATAAGTTTTATTAAGGTTTTAAAAGTGTCTTAAACTACTCTGTATGTGCTAAGATTGTCACGACCCCAAATCACCCCGGTTGTAATGGCCCCTATCGCAGTACTAGGCAAGCCGAATCAACCCAATTAACATAAAGGTGTTTTGTAAATTCATTTCCAAATCAGTTATAAACACAAGTCTTGCATTTAATTTAACAAAATACGCGGAAGAAAACAAGTACGTAAATATATCCATACCGCCCGATCATGGTGTCACTAGTCATGAGTCACTAAGATACTGTCCAGTACTGTCTACTCAATACAAGAAGAACAAGACTGAAATAAATAACACTAAGGATAGGAAGGAGAAAGGCAGGGCTGCGAACACTGTGCAACTACCTTGCTATCTCCGGAAATACTCAGAAGTTGCTGAAAGCTCTCACTCTGATGCTGTGACACCTGGATCTGCACACAAGGTGCAGGGAGTAACGTGAGTACGCCAACTCAGTAAGTTACCAAAGTAAACAAAATCTGAGTGCAGTGACGAGCATTTTAAAACATATACATAATCTAACATAAAATCTCAATGGAAATATCAAAGTCAAATCCATAGTTCAAGTTCCAAACAATTCGTAAAAAACTTCAGTTTCAATGAAAATTATTTAAAATATTTGTGCAACACATTTTCAATAGAGGCTCAGTATAAAGGAGAGTGAAAATAGTGATTTCATAAACAAGCCCCTCGGGCGAGGTATCACTCATAAGTATAGCCCCCCGAGCAAGCCTCTCAGTCACTCGTGACTCAACTCTCGTCAAATAGTACTCACACTCAGCACTCCTGTTCAATAGATATCTCATAATAATAACCGTTGCGGCGTGCAACCCAATCCGTAATATATAGTCTACTACGCTCACTGGGGGTGTGCAGACTCCAGAGGGGCTCCTACAGCCCAAGCGCTATATCGCTGCGGCGTGCAGCCCGATCCAACATATCGCTGCGGCGTGCAACCCGATCCATATAAATATCGCTGCGATGTGCAGCCCGATCCATAAAGTTTTTTGGACTGAGTTTTCCTAATTTTTCACTGAAATGCCCGAGCTATTGTGACGTTGATGACTGAGAGGGGCCAAGGGCCCGATGGTGAGGATTATATATATATAGTGAAAAATTAGGGAAACTCAACCCAGACAACTTTCAAATATTTAAAACAGAGTAATGAAACTAAATCAAACGTAAACAGGTAAAAATCATGACTGAGGATATGCTTTCGAATCAAAACAGTGTGAGGGAAGTTGTAAAATACCCATAAGGGTCCAAAATAGTTCGGCATAAGGCCCCAAACATGGCATTCAACCCAAATTGATAGGTTCATTTCTAAAACACTTAGATATCACATAGAGTTTATCAAAATAACAATTCTACAGTTGTCACGGGACGAACCAAGTTACAATCCCTAAGGATGCACACCCACACGCCCGTCATCTAGCATGTGCGTCACTTTATTTACCAAAATAGTACGAAATTCCGGGGTTTCATACCCTCAGGTTCAGATTTACAATCGTTACTTATCTCGAATCAGATGAAAATATACTCTGCGATGCCTTTGCCACTCAACTCGGCCTCAAATTGCCCCGAATCTATCCAAAATCAGAATCATAACATCAATATAGGCTAAGGAAACAAAGCTCATGCGAAAATAATCAAATTACATCAAAAATTTCGAAATTGGTGAAACCCGACCTTCGGGTCCATGTCTCAGAATCCAATAAAAATCACATCACTAGAATCCTTATCCTCCCACGAGTCCATACATACCAAGAACATAAAAATCAGACCTCAAATGGGCCCTCAAATCCCCAATTTAAACTCTCCAATTTCAATCCCTAATTCTCCAATTTAACCCTTAAATTCCACTAATTTCATGTCTAATTAGTTAGAAACCACCATAGAATTGAGTATTAAGTTCAAAAACCTTACCTCCAAGTGTTACCCCTCGAATATCTCTTCAATTTCTCTCAAAAAACTTCAAAGCCGTCCAAAAATGGTGAGAAATGAGCTGAAAATCGCGAAGATGACTTTTTAACTTTCTGCCCAGGTGCTTTCTTTATCACGATCGCGAAGCACAAAAATGGCCTTTCCCTCAACTTACCTTACGCAATCATGTAAACCTCCACGTGTTCGCGAACCTCAACTACCCAGACCTAAGCGATCGCGACCTGATCTACGCGGTCACATAGAGCAACCACCTCCACTTAGCACCAGCTCACCTCCTTGAACGCGAACACGACCCTAGCCACGCGTTCGCAAAGCAC